GCGGGGGGGCAGGGGGGATGGGTCGGGTGGGGCGGGGGGGGGAGCGCCCGCCGGGCCTCCCCTTCGCCCCGCGGGCAGCGGGGGAGGGCACCGGATCCCTCCGCGTTTCCCTCCGTCCTCTTGCGCTGCTCCACCGCCCGGCCCAGCGGCCCTCGCTGCCAGCGTGCCCTGAGGCGGGGGGGGCCCGGCCCGCCTTACCGGCAGGCCTGCCCGCCTGTCCCCTGGGGGAGCGCCGGGCGTGTAAGAGGCTCGGCGTTTCCTCTCGTTTTTTCTCGTTACAACTGCATGCAGTGTTGTCATTGCCTCCCCCCTCCCCCCGCCTCATGTGGCTTTATGGTGGACCAAGGTCTCTGACTGCTGTCAAATCATTGCCTTACAACTGTCTGCCGCTGTGAGTCTGAGCTTAGTTTCTGGATGGGTAGGAAAATCTGTGTGCTAAATCTGGCCTTGGCTTGTGCAGACGTGGTGAGGCCGGATGACCAGCTGAGGTAGTTCACAGTGGCGGTGTCTGAAATGAATGCACGTGATTTAGACGACTATGTGTGAAATGAGCATCTTCTACAGACTTCAGTGAATTAACCACTTTTCCTTCTTACTCTGCCCGCAGTTCAGAGGTGGATCTTCAGGCTGTTCGTTCCATCCTCTCCTTTTTCTGTTAAGCATTATTAGCATCTGAGGTACTGGCCCATTAGTGGATGATTTCACTGAGTTCTCAGTTCACTGAGAAGAACATTAGCACAGAGTCATGTTGGGTGTGTGCCTACAAGCTCAGCCATGCCCCCTGAAGTCTCTCAGCTTTCTACCTTCATTGATTTGTGAAATTCAGGTCTTTTGTAACGTGGATGAATTAGTTTTGGTTTTTTGTAAAGCTAGCATAGCAATATACAGTTTGAGTGGACTGATCTCTGCCTCACTATATTTACTCAGCCATGAGTTATCTGTTATATGTTACTTTAGTTTTGTGTTGAATACATTATATTACTAGTGGAACAGAAAGGTATGTTTGCCATGGTGAATTGTCAGCAGTAAGATGGAAGTTGTATGCGACTTGCGTATTGAAGGATGAGTGAATGAGTTAGGCGATACTGTATACGTATCTATGATAGAACTGAAAAATTTAACGAGGGTAACATTTTTGTTTATGTAGTTTGACATTTTTACTGTAAGACTGATGTAGGTGTCACCTTTTAAAAGACAGTCCAAATGTGAGTGTATGTGTGTTAGGAGCGTACTACAGCTGTGTCAAAGATGGCAACAGTTACGTAGCAAAGGTACAGTCTCTTAGTTTGTCCTTTATTTGATGTTCTGCTTATGGTCAAACAAGCAATGTGGTTCTTGGATAGTCAATTATGCATCTGTTCTAAGTAGATGAGGATTGCAGATTTTCATTAAAATATTTTAATGATGGAGTTGCTAATGGAGAGATGGACCTAGTCAGTTCTTGTTCATTCAGATATTTTACATAATAGTTATGGTAACTTGTGTGATAGAAGATGGGTATGTGTGCCTCCATTCTTTCTCTGCTTCCCACAGCACCAAGACGCTGACTCATTTCAGTCCCATTTATTTTGCTCTCCTACTAAATCATTAATACGAAGTCACTTACTCTGTTCTGCGTGTGTGTGTATCTGTATATATATAGATATATTGGTCCACTGGAGAGTGGAAAGCCTTTTTTTTTGTTGTTGTTTTTTAAAATTAGTAACGTGAAATATAAACCAAACCAGGTCCTATATCTGTCTTCTGGATGTTTTGTTTGTATTTCAGCCTGCTCTGAGGCTATACAGCTGGCTCACTGTCCTGGTTTAACCCCAGCCGGCAACTAAGTACCACACAGCCGCTTGCTCACTCCCCGCTGGTGGGGTGGGGGAGGGAATTAGAAGAGTAAAAGTGAGAAAACTCATGGGTTGAGGTAAAGACAGTTTAATAGGTAAAGCAAAAGCCACGCAAGCAAAGTAAAGCAAGAAATCCATTCACTGCTTCCCATCGGCAGGCAGGGGTTCAGCCATCTCCAGGAAAGCCAGCGCTCACCCAACGGTTACTTGGGAAGACAAATGCCATCACTCCGAACATCTCCCCCTTCCTCCTTCTTCCCCCAGCTTTATGTGCTGAGCATGACGTCATATGGTGTGGAATATCCCTTTGGTCAGTTGGGGTCAGCTGTCCCGGCTGTGTCCCCTCCCAACTTCTTGTGCACCCCCAGCCCACTCGCTGGTGGTGTGGGGTGAGGAGCAGAAAAGGCCTTGACTCTGTGTAAGCACTGCTCAGCAATAGCTAAAACATCCCTGAGGCAGTTTTCTCACTGTACAGAGATGTTCTGTACCTGAACTTTGTATTTCCTCGTGTCAGTGGTCTACTTATGTGTTATATTGAGGGCATCCTCCCATAACTTGAGTTTTACGTTGTGCAGGAATAATGGGTTGAGTTGTAGAGACTGTGGATGGTGTGCAGGCTGTGGCTTTTTCAAAATATTGCACAGGAGAAGAAATTAATATTGTGTGAGAAGGCCAAGGGCTTCTGGTTTCTAGCACATTTGTGAGCAGATTAAAGGTCTCAGGAATGTGATGGAAGTACTTGGTAGTTTGTGGATTATTAAATTAATATTTGTCACTGAGCAAAGAGTTTGATTTAATTTCCTCAAAGTGAGAGTGAGTAAAGTACAATAGCTTCAAAAAATGTCAAATGTTTAGGAACACTGTCAGCATGACTAATTTGTGATTTTATTCACAACTGTGGGCAAAAGTGTGGTAGTAGAATCTGGAAGATTAATGTACAAAGGCTGTTGAATTTTTTGTTTGTTTTCCAGGAAACTCTTTAGGAGTACTTGTCAAATGACCTGGGATTTGGAGTTCTGCCTGTGTGGCATCCCAAATTTCATGCAGTAAAATGAACATGTAGGGTTTACAGTACTTAGAATACGTGACAATAAATAGAAATAGTACTCATTCTTAAGTAGAACTGAGTTACCTCCGCTGTAGTTGAGTATTTACACAGTGTTATTACAATCTTGTGTATTAAGCACTGGAGTATTAATCTTCTTTGGCAATATTTTCATCTATGTTTTTATAGTTATCTATTTTTATGAATTTCACTGCTAGCTTTAAAATAAAATGACCAAAAAAAATTGACACATGTAATTGATGCAGGCTATTACTGCTGGAGCAGGTGGATAGCAGCACGTGGTATTGTGGGGCAACTTGTGGTGGTTGTCATGCTCATGTGGACTACAATGAGCTTCCTTTTCTGACCATCATGTAAAACTGAATACTATTCAGTTCTAATTTGCCTTTAACTGTCCAGCTGTAGTTGCCAGGAATTTGCAGTGGTCAGATGTGCAGCTGAAGCAGAAAGAAATATAACATTTATTTATTTATTTATTTATTTGTTTGTTTGTTTATTTATTTATTAGATCTGGGGTAGAGGGGAATTTTCTAGTGAGTTTCTGAAATATATGGTCACAGTGAAGAAGAATGGTGAAATTCTGATATCTTATGTTCCCTTTTAAATACTCTGATTTGCACATTCTTCTTTTATTTCTTCCTTACTCCTACCCATTCTGTTCTAGTTAATCTAAACTTTCACAGTCATTTCTCTTTTCTCATCTCTCATCCTGGTAACAAGTTTCAACTAGTAATGAGTCCCACGTTATTATGCCTTTAATTCCCAACTCTCCATCCTAAATGTTGTCTATTTTTTCCCTTATTTTCCTTAGTTTATTTCCATAACTTATTTTCAAATGCTTCCTTTGCATTGAGCTTTGTAATGCCTTTCTTTTAGATCACTGAACGTTTGGGAGGGAGGAAAGAGCATCTCGTTTACTGTCATCTCTTCTGCCTTGCCCTGATCTGATCTCGGCAGAGCTCAAAGCAGTGACTGTGGGGCAAATCCTTGTCTTCAACACGGAGCATGTCTAAGATGCACGACATTTTTAAGGGAATGAGAACCTTGCTCTTAACTTCCACTGGTCAGATGTCACTCGATTCCTTTTTTTTTCCCAGAGGCCTGGAATTTGTTCAAATGTGGGTATCCCTCATGCCTTTCCTCTCTTGTCTATTTGACAGAACCCCTGCACATTAGATCTAGAATATGCTTTTAGATATAATGACATCTGAAAGGCATAGTAAACATTCATTCCAACATGGAGCTCCTGTTGCAAGCCAGGAGAATATGCAGAGAATGCATTCTTTTGATCACGTGCATTCATAGTTTTTTATCGCTTTTCCTGAAAAATGGTGTTAATAAATGACTGCCCTATTTGTAGCCTGTTTAGATGAGAAGGTTTGTACTTCAGAGAAAAGTAGTTGCCCGTTCACTGTACTGTAGTGAAAGGTAGTTGCCCATTAGTAATGCTACATGGAAAACATGCATTTGTGTCTTTTTATGGAGCCAAAGGCACTGATATGTTTCAAACATTTACAGAGACTTCCATTTGCATTTTCCATTTCCATTTGAAAAAATAAATATAGAAAAAAAGTCTTTAATTTGTGGGAAATACTAAGAAACTGAGCTGTGGCTTTTTCAGACATTTACAGCTGTAGTTCATAAATCTAGGTTTAGGTCTCAGGCACATGTATATCTGTTATTGGGTTGTACTTTAATTTCTTGAGAAAAAAAAGATAACGTAGAGGTGAGTTCTGCCTTGTAACTGTTGTTAAAGAAAATGTTTCTTGCAGCTGGCACAAGTCAGCTTATAAATCAAGGCATTGCTATAGTGACACTTTCACAAATGCCTTGCTGGTTTTTGGATCTTGTTCAATTTATTTGTTCGATTTAGTGCGTGATAGATCCCATTTAATTTTCACACCTGTGTAAGTGATTTGATCCGGCAAAAATACTTCATTACATGGTATCTGTCAGCCCGTGCTTGTTTTCAGCAAGCTATGCATTTATTAAACAGTAAATTTTTGTGTTTAGTCTATTAACATACTTACTGCAGTAGAATAAACAAGCCTTGTACTTTTACTCAACAACAGCAGTTAGATGATGCTGCCATTAACAATAAAAACATATTTGTTCATATTAAAAGAAAAAGAATTAATACAGAGTTAGAAGGATCTTTGAATGCTGATACTAGAAAATAAATTAATGTAATCTCTTCCACTAGTAGATAAGTGTATGTGAAATACTAAATTGCTTCCACTGGGTGGCATTGCAAAACAAAGTATGACGTGCAAGCATATAACATTTGATGCCCTAAAATAATATGTTGATATAATTATTTTACATATTTTTCGGTATTGTAAAGTTGTTTTGATGTATAGTAAAACATCTAAAACTGGAGGGGGAGTGAGGGGTGTTTCTCACCCTTTTTTCTCCACTTTTTTTTTTTTCCCCAGTTCTGCTTTATGGTGTTTGATGGCAGATGTAAGACTTCACTATTCATTTAAAGTCTAAGTCCCGTAATAGTACTCTTTATTCAGAGGAGATTTTTTTTTTGCAGTGCAGAGTAATAATTATAATAAGATCCAGTTAGGTTAGGGATATCTTACTCCTCCTGTTGGTTCTTATGAGTTGCTTTGTATTTAGTGCTTTTGCTTTTAAGTAAAGGTGGTGTGAGTAAAAATCTTTGCTTAATTATCTTTGAAATATTTTGACTGAAATTACTTTTTTTTAAGTATGGAGCTGGAGATAAATACAGTTCTAGAAAAATGGCATGATTTTCTTCGTACTGGTCTGAAATATCACACCTAACTAGGGTCGTTGGGAAATAATATTGAAAGCTGAGATTTAATTTATATGTTCTGTATATTTGCTCTCTTTTCTGGTGTGACAGAGTATGAATCAATGTTCCTGGGTTTTAGTAGTGCAGATTTATTTACCAGAAACTTGAAGGAGACCATGTATCATTCTGATGAATATAGCTGTCATTAACTGCTGTTTGTTAATTGAACTCAGTTGAAGCTAGTGAATTAGTCTGTGACTCTTAAAAAACAAACAAACAAACAAAAAAACAACAACAAAAAAACCCCGCCAAACCCAAACCAACTCCCCCAACAAGAAAAAATCAGCAAAAAATCCTGACCAAACAAAAAACCCCAGAACTATGTGACTGAATAAGGTGATGATGTGATTGAAAAAAAACCAAACAAATAAAACAACAACAAAAAACCCCACCAAACCCAAACCAACTCCCCCAACAAGAAAAAATCAGCAAAAAATCCTGACCAAACAAAAAAACCCAGAACTATGTGACTGAATAAGGTGATGATGTGATTGAAATATCTCTTTGTTTCCCTTTATATTAACTTCTGTTTTTCTGAATTTACTTCTTTAAAATTCTTCATTTTTTCTCTTTTGTCCTTAATTTTTTTTTCCCACTCAGCTCTGTTGGTTTTCTCCTCATTTTCCAAAGACCATCAAGAAAACTTGAACCTGGAAGGAATGAACTTCTTCCTAGTGTAAAATCTCCTATAAACTATCTGAGCACGTGGTATGTGATAGCAGATGGCATTTGTGCACAGATTTCACTTGATCACAGAATGAATTTCAATTAATCAAGGATGGAATAGTTTCTCCAATTACTACTTCTTGGCAGAGAGCTATATATACAGGACACATTCTGCAAGCAGTTGATAACCTTATGTGAAGTGTTTCATGACAGTAGAGTACACATTTGTTTGATTTACTGGTTTAAAATCACCTACAAATTATATAGTTTCTGACTTCTGTTTATGAAGAATTAATTGCATATTGCAATTATGGAAGGGATTTGAATCTCCTATTCCTGACCCCTTATTATTCAGGGGGGAGAAGTGGAGAAAGGAAGCTTTACAAAATAAGACAATTTTAGGCTTTCTGTGCTGAAAAAGCTTTACGTGCTTCCGCATGTGTATTCTAATTTCAGCAGATCAGTTAATGTAGCTATACAGGAAGTAGATGACATGTACTTGGTTTCACTGAAAATAATTATGGTAGATTATGTTTGGTTTGTCTTTAATTGTTTACAGGATATTCGCATCATCTCTTGTCGTGTTGAGAAAAATATCTCTGTGATAAAGCTTGATTGTACAAACAGCTTTAAAACACGTTTTCACAACACATCCTTCTAATATCTTTTACAGTGAAATTTACTGTAAAATATTCTAATTAGTTAAAGTAGAAATTGGAATGGGTAGCAGTTTTTCCCATTATGACAGGTGTATTCTCTTCTCACTCCTTTGTTGATATTCTAGCTTTTTTTGAAGGGCCGTGGCTTGGAGAACAGCAATTTATTAATTGCAGAGGTACGGAAATCCCTCCTGTGTGGTGAATATGAATAATGATTTGAGCTGAGTGGAATTAATGCTGTTGGTTTCCAAATATCAACAGTGATTAGGAGACTAATTGCTAATTATACTGTCATTTTGCAAGCATTTTGTATAGTATGACTGTTTTTTTTAATTAATCAGACAGTATAATCTTGCATAGTTTCCTATAGCCACTTTTATGTTAATAGCCAATATCTCTAATGGGGTCAGTTCTGAGCCATCTAGTGACTATCTGATGATGGTATTGTGATAGCTATGCAGTAGCAATGATTGCACTGTGAAATGAACTGCTGTTTGCAGTAATTGGTGTTCTGATGGAGTAGAATAAACTACTGCTTCTTCAGTAGGTTTTGCTGCATAGAGTTGTGAATGGTCCCTGTTATGGGGGTGGATAGAAGTGAAATACTGGAAATAGTTTTGCTCTGTTTCTGAGCAGAAAAGAGAAGAAAGTGGAAGCTGAAAAAGTAGGAACTAAAAATAACTGTTGCTATGAGAAGGATTAGCCTTGAGGTGCTTTACCCATACCCTGGGTTTGAAGGCTAATCATCATGGGCTGACAGAGTTTACTTATAACTTTCTAAAGGATTTTGCTTGTTGTGTGAACTTGGAGATAAACTTTCTGCAGGGAAGCTAAGGATCCTGGGATGACTGTACTGGAGAGTGAACTGGAATTCCATTCTGTCTGAGACAGTAACTGCAAGTAACTATTTGCAGAAGGATGGGCTAAACCTCTGCTAATGTCTTTGCTAAAACTTGAGATTTTTTTGTATTTTGAGATGTTGGGACTACAGCTGCTTGATCTCTGTATAGATATGGAATAGGAAGAAAGAGCTGAAGCTAGTTTAAATAAAAACTTGGTTAGTCTTAGAAAGATAACCCCCATTGTGATTACTGGTAGCTGAGGAGAGGTTTCCTATTTGGAAAAATCTTGCTCAAGTGGATGACTGTAAGTAGCATGCTTCTTGCCTTGAAGAAGGTACCGTTATAACGAGTAGCCATTCTTTACAGCCTCTTTGAGTTAGAAAAAGCTTAGTCTGAAATTTTGGTGGTATCTTGGACATTTCTCAAGATTTCAACCTCAGTGGGAGTGCTAGGAACATAGTTTTTTTTAGTAATGGCCATGTACTAATTCTGCTTTGTACTGTGTTGATCTTTTGCCTTGCAAGTGTTGATAGCTTGGTTCAGTATTTAAGACTATGAAATCCATGTCGTTAGATGGGATATTTCTTTTGGCTGTTATTTTCTTGGAGTTACCATAGAGCAGAATTTTTTTCCCTTACTGTAGTACCATGTACATATCAGGAATCATTCGTGCCCTTTGCAAGCAGACTTAAAAGTAGGTTTTACTTAGTTGTTGCATGTGTGTTTCATCTTGTGTGGGTTATTGACAAACTGGATCTCAACACATGTTGGGAAGAGACAGTATGGGCCACTATAAATGGTAATAGTTATTACTTGATCACAGTGAATGACTGCAGTGACCTTCAGTGTGGATAACCTGCTTTCCAAGTTCATGGTGAAGTTTTAAACCTATGTACACATAATGTATTTTTCTTCAAATAAACCAGACCTATGGACTAAGGATGGAAGAATTATTTTTAAATTATTAGTTTGAACTTTAAATAATTAAATTATAAACAAATAATTGTTAATATAGTCTTTTTTTTCCCCCCCCAGCTGTAGCAGAAGTGAAACTCCGTGATGATCAATATACCCTTGACCACATGCGTGCTTTTGGCATGTATAATTATCTTCACCTTGATTCCTGGTACCAGGATAATGTCTACTATGTTGATCAGTTTGGAAGGGTTATGAATCTGTCAGTGACTCTGGTAAGAATAAACTTTTTCTAAAAATTACTGAATTTGAAAAGGTAGAGGGTAGATAAGATAGAAAATATGGCAAGGAGGATTCAAATGCAAAAATTGGGGGAAGCTATTGCCAGGAAGACAGATAGATTAACAAAAATGCAGTTCAACAGGAAGGATAAAAGGATTTTAAGTGAGGTTTCTGACATCTTTTCATTAGTAGTATTGCATTAGTATTGAAATGGTATTGCATCTGCTTCCATTCTGGGGAAGATAGAGATACAGTGACAAGCTGAAGAAAAGAGTGGACACTTCTTTTCTAGTTGCCAGCTGTTTCTCCCCTATGTTACTTGGTGTTTGTCTGTTTGCTAATTTGAAAATCCAGTCATTGTAGATATAAGGAGAGAAAGAAGCTGTACGCATTAGAATTAGAAATGAAAGCCTTTACATATTAATAGGTTAATCTGGGCATCACTCATTGGAGGCAAAAAGATGCTGGTGGTCCTGTGCAGACTTGAAATAGCGTGTAAGCAAGCTAGACCGAGTCTGAAAAACATGACAATTCTCTGCTTTTATACTGATGTTCTTAAGTAGTCAAACTTTATGTTTCTTTTGAGCCATTTTAATGCATGGATGCACTAGTTTCCATTACAAAGTCATTCATTTTTCTGGAGGGGAAAGGGTACACCTCTGTGGACACGGTGTTTCTGGTACATGCAATTGTAGTGCTTGGTCTTTAAGGAATAGAAGACTGCATTACTGGCACTGATTTTGCAGCTATCACAATGTCTTCTTAGCTTTGAATGTATAATTTAGAGTAAGATTGTATCTCTGACAATTTTGACTTGTATCCTGATGAACAGTAAATATATGCTTGCAGTTTTTCACCACAAAGTAGGATTTTTTGTTTTCATTACTTTAACTCAATCCTTTTGAATTCATCAAGTATAGCTTCTTAAATGTTCATCTATGCAGAAGGAAAAAAGAAGTCCATAACTGTATCCAGTTGTTAGCTAATTTAAATAGCAATGCTTCATTCATAACCAGTTATTTAGTTAACATTTTATGTTGAGAAAGGTAATAACATGTCAATACTCAATTCTCATAATAAGATTTGCTCTGGCAGTAAATGATTCAGGGCTGATGTTTGATTTTTACATAAAACAATGTTAATTTTATGTAACAAGTCACTTGAATTCTGCTATGAGATTAATATAATTCTGGAAAATACAAAATGTGTCACATATTAATACTTTCCTCCTTCTATAGCTGTTCCTGTTTCATTCATATATTTTGGTGTGGCAACTTCTTCCAGTTACTGTAATCTGACTTCTGGAATCATGTTGGTTGACATAAGATTAATTAGACTGTGTGAGTGTTAAATAGAAGGAATCTTTAAAGGAGTTGGGTGGAGGAGAAAGTCGTTAACCTTTTGTTAATCAAATATTCAGCGTGATTGTATACTGCTGAGATGTTTAAAGTTTATGGAGTCTCTTCATACTCTTCTCTCTAGACTCCACAGAACATTTTGCTCTTCAGTCCACAGAGTACTGGCCTAAACTTATTTCATTGCTATAACTGACTACATGTAATTTTCAGGTTTGGAAAGGAAAATATCCATTGTCATGTTGACAAGGAATTTGACCTCTAACCCTGTGGGACAAAAGAAAACACAGGATGATGTGTGATTTTTTGAGAGAGTGTGACTTATTCTGTGCAAGGTTCTAGGAGTGGAAATTACTAGGCTGGGGCTAAGGTGAAAGAAATCCTGAAATGGTAGTTCTAGATTTTCCAGGAAATACAGGTTTGCAGAGGATGGTAGGCTGAGAACTGGAGCTGCAAAATAGTTCTTTCACTTTTCATAGAACATATAGGCAGTTGGAGCCTTTGGCAGACTCTTGCTGAGACAGAATAATCTTCTGGGACTTCTTCCAAATCTTTTGAGATCATCTGGATTCCCAGTAGGAACGTCTAAAAGAAAGAAGCTTGTCAGGGAAAGCCTTTTGTGAACACTGGCTTGTCACAATCTCATTTTTTGTGTTTTGTTTTTTTTTCCTTGTGGTTGGTTAACCTTGGCTGGCTGCCAGACACCCACTCAGACGCTCTCTCATTCCCCCTCCTCAACAGGACAGGGAGAAAATAAGACAGAAAAGCTCGTGGGTTGAGATAAAAACAGGAAGACTACTTACCAATTAAGTCACAGGCAAAACAGACTTGACTTGGGGGAAATGAAATTAATTTATTGCCAATTAAAAATAGAGTAGGATGATAGCAAGTAGCAAGCTTGAGAAGTGGGCCGAAGCTTGAGAAGTGGGCCTGTGTGAACCTCATGAGGTTCAACAAGGCCAAGTGCAAGGTCCTGAACTTGGGTCGGGGCAATCCCTAGTATCAATACAGGCTGCAGGATGAAGGGATTGAGAGCAGCCCTGAGGAGAAGGACTTGGGGGTACTGGCAGATGAAAAACTGCACATGAGCAGGCAATGTGCTCTCATAGCCCAGAAAGCCAACTGTATCCTGGGCTACATCAAAAGAAGTGCGACCAGCAGGTCGAGGGAGGTGATTCTGCCCCTCTACTCTGCTCTGGTGAGGCCCCACCTGGAGTACTGTGTCCGTCTCTGGGGTCCTCAGCCCAGGAAAGACATGGACCTGTTGGAGCAAGTCCAGAGGAGGGCCACAAAAATGATCAGAGGGATGGAACACCTCTGCTATGAGGAAAGGCTGAGAGAGCTGGGGTTGTTCAGCCTGGAGAAGAGAAGGCTGTGGGGAGACCTTATTGTGGCCTTTCAATACATAAAGGGGGCCTACAAGAAAGATGGGGATAGTCTTTTTAGCAAGGCCTGTTGTGACAGGACAAGGGATAATGATTTTAAACTAAAGGAGGGTAGATTTAGACTAAACACAAGGAAAAAAATTTTCATGACGAGCGTGGTGAAAGACTGGACCAGGTTGCTCAGAGAGGTGTTAGATGCCCCATCCTTGGAAACATTCAAGGACAGGCTGGATGGGGCTGTGAGCAACCTGATCTAGTTGAAGATGTCCCTGTTCATTGCAGGGGGGATGGACTAGATGACCTTTAAAGGTCCCTTCCATCCCAAATCATTCTATGATTCTGTGATGGGCAACAAAGCCACACAAAGCTCCTGCCAGGAGCTTGCTCCAGCACAGGCTTTCCATGAGCTGCAGTGTGAATATCTGTCCCACTGTGATCTTCCTGCAGGGGAGCAACCTGCTTCCCCATGGTCTTCTCCAAGGGCTGCAGGCGAACCTGTGCTCTACACCACCGTCTTGGCTGACGGGCTCAGCTGTGCCCTGCGGCCAGTCCACTGGAGCCAGCTGGAAGTGGCTGTGTGGCACGGGGCAGCCCTGCAGCTCCCCAGTGCCAGCACAGCACAGACATCCAATACATTCCTTTATTAGGAGGGCACTAAAGTGTGTAAATTTCTTTCTTAGCAGATAAACCAGATAAAGGATTTTCTGGCAGGCAGTAATTCGCGTTTTTATATGCAGTAAATTGAAATAATAAATATTCTTCCCTAGGACTGGTGGGTCCATTGGAATCTTCAAGAAAATGGCATTTGGTGAATATCTTGTCAGGAGTTCTAGTGAAATAAATAGCCTCCATCTTGTGTCCTAATATGCAATACAGTGCTGTTTTGCAAAGGAAACATGTTTGCATATGTATAAAAAGGAATGTGTATTCAGAAACATCAACAAGGTGTGTTATTACAAATGTGCCTGGCCCTGTATTAGTCATATGTATATTACAAATAATAGTTTTCAGCCAAGTATAGCTTACAAATTAGCAATGGCCACAATTAAAATTAATGTCAGTCTTCTCTAAAACAGAAGGTGAAACAGGTTAACATGCTTATCCTAAATCCAAAGTGAAAGAACACATAGGCTTTTTAACACGTAACTATTTCTAGTTCTGCTTCCTATTTCTGTTGCAACTTTGATTCTAATATGGCAGTGTGTTAGTTATCCATAAATCAGGAATTACCCTTGCAACTTAGGTGTTTAAAAAGATGTCATCTGTGAAGTCTGATAATACCTTGCCACTTGCTCAACATCAAACATAACTGAAAAAGAAAAATTATCAACATGAGCATTTTTTTCTAAGTTGATGGATGGGTATTCCAGTGTTTTTTTAATACTGGCTTGAGAAAGCTGTTACCCTAACTTGACTGGAAATACTACATAAAAGCTTTAACATTCTTCTATTACAGCTATTGATTTTCTTTCATTCAATAAGCCCTCATCAGTACTTTGTTTTAAAGACCCAATGGGTAGTGTAGTGTCAGGATTACTGAGTTGGGTTTTTTTGGGTTGTGGGGTTTTTTGCTCAGTTAGAGACGTGTCCAATGCCTAGATATTTTGATTTTTCATAAAAACAAAGTTTTATATTTGTTATGGCTACTTTGTGGAAATTGCCATATAACTTACAGCTTTTATTTTTTCCTTTCTCTTTTGGTATGTTTTTTTCTTTTCTCATTCCCTGTCTTGTCCTTGGAAAATTCATTCTTATTTTAAATCTCTTACGAAATATCGCTTGTTTTTACAGTATGACAAACAGTTTGTGGCTTTGGAACAATACAATTTCTGAGTACAACTTAAAAAATTTACATTTTACAGGCATGCCACTTTAAATCTTACAGGCATGCCAAAGAACCTAAGTAAAATTTCACTATTCTAACTATGTAAGCTAAGACACGCTTACTTAAATGGAGCCTGGCGCAGGGGAGTCAGGAACAGAGGGAATTTTTAAGCTTGCATTTTACATTTTACCTCTTGTACAAGCACACTGGCTCCTTATCCTGAGCAACTGGAGTACACCCAGGCTTGGTCTGCCTGACTTTGCCTGCGGAGGAACTGTTTGCTCAGAATTTCTGTACAAATTTGAAACCTGGGCTGCTTAAAAGGCTCAAAATCAGGGTTAGTGCCATAGGCAGGTGAGGCAAACGAGCGGCTGAAAGGAAAGGGGTGGTTGTAATAGTGAAGGCACCCAGATGAAATCTGGAAGACG